TGCTGTTTTCTCATTAAAAAAACCCGTTGCCATTGAGTCAATTCCAACTCATAGCAACCCTATAGGACAGAGTAGAACTCCCCCATAGGGTTTCCAGGGAGCGGCTTGTGGATTTGAACTGCTGACCTTTTGGTTAGCAGCTGAGTTCTTAACCACTGTGCCAGCAAGTCTCCGTTTTCCCATAGTGATCTTTAAATAGAACTTGTGTCCCCACACAGACCAATGGCCGTGCTCAGGGGAGGATTATCCAATAGACGAAGTAAGCACAAGGTTACCAGATCATCTGTAGTGAACAATTTCACATTTTTTCACCACATCAAAGATTCTGCTTCTAGGTATTGCTGGCATCTGTTTCTGTCCCAACCTCACAGCACCTTCCTACAGAATCAAAGCCTTTTTTCAAATTTACAATCCCTAACCGGGGCAGATGACCCAGTAAGCAAGTTAAGCACAAGCTTACTCGTGCTTACTTACTAATCTGTAGTGAAATTGTTCACTCCAGATGATCTCGTAGGCAAGGTAAGCTTACCTTGCCTATTGGATAATCCGCCCCGTGACTGTGTTGCTTTCTACTCTTCTTTCTCTCATCCTCTGCCCTCTCTTTATCCACCCCACCCCGCCACCACTCATCAAAATCATCATCTTCAACTGTATTCTCCCTGGCTTAGTTCCAGGCCATGTTCATTCTTCCCCTTGGAGCCTCGTTGCTGACAGGTGGCGGCTGATCCCACTGGCACCATAAAACCTGAGAATATGCCAGGAGAGAGGTGGGCACTGTTCAAGGTGACCCGAGCTAACAGGGAAGAATATAAATGGCTCTAATGAATCACTGTGTCAAGGCTAGGTGGATAGTGTTAATCCTAAGCCCCAGAAATGCAGAAACTGAGACGACCACCGGGGCAGAGGACAGAGCTGGAGTTCACCCTTGAGCACTGAGAGCTTCCAGTCGCTAGAGGTAGATAGGCAGACAAACCGTCAGGTGACTCTTGAAGGAAATCAGAGAGGCCAAAGACGTCTACTGTGTAGACCAGCCAGGGGAAGAGACTAAGGAACAAGAGAGTCTTGAGGGTGGGAAGCAGTGGATGATAACGGGGGAGGAAGGCTTGAATAAGTAGGAGGAAAATACAAGGAGAGGAGAGGATAAGAAAAAGAGATAAATCTTGTCTTGTAAGGAGGCAAGATACGGGGTTTGATTCCTAAATTCCAATTCATCCCACTCACACATCAGCCTTCTAGCTTAAGATCAAAATCTTCATGGGTTGCAGCCACTGGTCTTCCAGAGGGGGCCGGAGAGAACAGGTTCAGTAGAAAAGACAGGAGCCCCAGAGTTGAGGTAGGAACGAGTGAATTGCCAACCTCTGTAAGAATATGTTTGACATTTAGTTGGCTCCTAATTAAACAACCCAATATCAAACATATCATCCAGAAGCAGGCAGGAGAGCTTTGGTGGTCATCTGTCTTCCTCCCCATTGTAAAGAAAAGACAGAGCACATAAACCAGGCACCAATCATGGCTAGATGGAGAGCTATCTCTTGGGGAAGGTCACTGGCCCCTGCTCTTCACCTCCCAAGACAGACAACTCTTGCTCATCTGCCCTTTATGCCATTCCTGCCTTAGCTGCTCGCCTACAAGTGCCCTGGCCTTCACTGGAACACGTTGGCCCACACCAGGAGTCATACCTGGCAGGGCTCCACATCCGGGCACCTATCCTCAAAAACTCCCACATGGAGCTTCTGCCCCCTGATGTCACAGCCCCAGTGCCCAGAGGATCAGCAGTGTCAGCAGCTCTTCATCAGCCTTGCCACCTGTTCTCCTCAACCCCACTCCAACTGCCTTGAGGCTTTCCATCTTGGGTGAGGTTGGAGGGGGTGGCTTGTACATCCTGCTTTCTCTTTCCAATAGAACTCCTAACCTGTATAGATCTCGCCCACAGGATGGCTGAGGTTCATTCAGTGGATACCGTGTTGCTCTTAAGCACTACAGATAAGTAGCCATGAGAAACTTCCCAAATGCTGGGCCTCTTTCTACCACCCTTTTCCTTCTCACCTTCTCCTCATGTCCTCCAGGAATCCTCCTTGAAGTTGCCCTTGGATGTCCAGTACAGAAGAGTGACCGGTCTCACGAGCAGGGTCTGGGTTTCATGCTGTCCTCTCCAAGTCTTGCAGGCTCCAGCCTGGGCCCCAGAGAAGACTTCTGGTCTCCCTTGTTTGGCAGAATTGAAACTAAGACTATAGGAGACCAATGGTGAGGGAGGAAACTCCCTCTGCCAGGGAGCAGCCTGCAGTCCTTGGGACTCTCCTCCTCTTCTGGGGCTTTTAACTCCAAGAACTCCAGTGCTTGGGCTACCTTCTCCAAAGGTCTTCCCTGGTTTCTCTTCCGGGGATTTTTCTTCTGAAGAGAATCGGGTCTGTTGATATCAGTGGCAGGCAGATGCTTCTCTCCACTGTGGTGGAAAGGAACTCAAGTTATAGCTGCACTGGGGGGTGGGGGCTTGGGTGGAAGTGCAGGGTTTGGGGCAGAGGCTCTGCTTCAGCCCCCAGGCCTGTTCCATGTGTCCTTGCTCCCATTAGTCTGGACACTCCCCCCGCCCCCAACTCCACTCTGCCCTTGAACTGGATCAATAGCTTGTCCCAAGCCCGAGTCAGTCCTGTTGTGTGGCTCTTGCCTTTCATGGGAAGACTAACAAATGGACATACAGGCCCCAAGCTAGGCACCTGTGATGTTATGTCCTTGTTCCTTTATGGCTTGCAGTGGGAGAGGGTGTAATTTCTGTTTTGTGCTTTCCCTTCTTCCCCTCACTCCCACCCCCAAGTTCTCGTCCCTTCTCTGAGAACCTTGGCCACATTGGACAACCAGAGGCTAGAGAAGAGTCTGGGAAGGGACTAGCAGGAACTGAGAAGACTTCAGTGCTAGGGGCACGAGGGGAACAGAGACAGGGAATATTGAGGTAGAGGAGGAGCAACTCTCTTAGAGGTAAGGACACTTTGAGTGGATGGCATAACTAGGCAGAAAGATCAGATGGATTCAAAAGCCCTCTAGCTCTCCTGCAGCTGTTTCAAACAAGACTGAGTCCTTCTGAGCAGGAGGAGCTGGGTGAGGCACCAGCTGCAGAGGGGAAGAGGGGCTGGATGGGTAGATGGGTGGTGAACTACTCAATTGATGTGATGAGAGCAGACAGAGTAGACAGGATCGTTGGAGATGGGCTCTGTAGGGGGTCAACCTGCCAATACTAGAGCCAGCCTGGCACTGACAAGCCCTGGGGAGACAGGCCAAGGTCAGGAATCAAGGCAGAGTGGGTGGGGCGTTCTGTGGGTCCAAGGGAATAGAGGAATAGAAGAGGTTGGTGAGGGAAGGAGGTGGGGGCACTCAGGTAATGGATCGGAAATAAAAAGGGGAAAAATCATGGGCCGGGAAACTTCCCTGTGGGTTACCATTTATTGGACATAATTGCCACCTCTACGTTGTGTTTATTTAATCCTCCCTGCAACCCAATGAGGTAAGAATTATCTCTATTTTACATATAAGAAACTGTGACCCAGAAAGTTAAAACAGCTTCCACAAGGCCACACAGGCAGTAAGTGACAGAGCTAGGACCAAGAGCTAGGATTTGAACCCAGATTTGTCCAGTGTGAAAGCCTGTTTCCTGAACACCAGGCTATACTGCCCATAAAAAAGACGCAGAGAACTGACTAGGAGACAGATACCGGGGAAGGTGAAAAAAGTGAAGGTGAGATGAACCTGCAGGGAAAGAGAGGGCTGGGGAACAGGCAGAGCGAGTGGGAGACTGGGTCTCATGTTTGTGGTTCAATCCAGGCCACATGTATGTGGTTGTCTACTGTCAAACTCACATCACACTTAACATCATCACTTGTTCAATGGCTCCCCTGCCAGCCTGTGGACTCATGAGTCATTATGGACTAAAGACAAGAAGGCTTGGGAAGCAAAGGTGGTGGAGTCTGAAAGCTGAATGGATGTACAGAACAGAGGGGGAGGGGAATGGGATGGCCAAGAGGGAAGTCTCATGAGGCAAAGGGGAAGATACCTACTGTGTGCCAGGCACTCGGCTTGTTCTCTACACAGGTTATCTCATTCAATCCTCCTAACACTCCTTGGAGATGGCTATTATTTCCCCCATTTGCAAAGGGGAAAAATGAAATAACTGACATATGGTGACAGAATTAGGAGGTGAAGTCAGAATTTGAACCCACATCCGTCTTCAGAGCCTGTGCTCTTCCCTTGATACCCTGCTGCCTCTCCTTGCCCCTGAATCTGTGGGGTGTGTAGGGGCAGAAGGGAAGAGAAGTTCTGACAGCTAGGAGATAACAGTGGGGGATTCAGTAGGAGATTGAAGGGTGGATACAGCATAGGGCGGCTGCAGTGAAGACACAGCCCCATGGGGCTGTGGGAATGATGTGAGCAGTGAGGTTGCTGATGACAAAGTCAGAGAACAGGAAATAGTAATGTGTAATGGTGGTGTATTGGGGGGGGGATAGTGTGTCCCTGCGGCTGTTACTGGCTATGAAATGGGGTCTTCCGGCGCTTGGGGTGTTATTTGTATGTAAAATGGACCTTGAGTAAGGTTCTGTAGCCTGTAGATGCATACGGTTAATCAGAACTTGTCAGTGTTTTTCAGAATTTTGAGTTCCTTTAGATTGAATGTTCTCTTTCCATGCCACCACAAACCCCATCACTCCTAGTTCCTTATACCCGCTACGTGACCTGCTTGACCCCTGGAGGCACCTGAGTTTGGAACCCTCTCCTTCTGCAGAGGTGGGAATTCAGACCCAGAGGAAAGAGACTTGCCCAAGGTCTCACAGTAGTGGCCAAAAACGAAAACCGAGATCTCCGGACACTCAAGCACCACAGTGCCTGTTGATGAGCTCATAGCCACATTCAGAGCTACCTGTCCAAGTATACAGAAAAGTTCAGTGGAAGTGAGATTTGAGAGGTGGTGAGCAAAATCCAGGAAGCTACAGATTGAATTAAGATTATGGTGGCTGTGAAGGAAGCATTTTTGAAACAAAACGGGGAGACTCAAGATTTAGGGCTGAAAGAATGAGCCAAGTGGCCTAAGTTTGAACCTATAAGGGCCAGCTTTATTTGTTACACCGAATCAGGGTTCTCAACTCTCACAAGTCCGTCTTTCCACCTCAGCCCCACCTTCCATCAATACTGCGTATCCCACTCTGACCACAAGGCGTCACTCGTTTTCACTATTGTTTTATAGATGGTTTCTCACTTAGCAGCAGGGGGAGACGTGACAGCGAAAAGGTGAGAGTGGAAGGACTGCCTCAAGTCCTGGGCAGACGGCTAAAGCCAGATGTGTTCTGGGAAGGAAGTTCAAGGCTGTAGAGGCTCCAGAAGGCTAGGTTAGCAGGCATGGCAAGAACGGGAGGCCTATTTCAGATGCCATCATAGTCTCTCCACATAAAAAGCTTTGCCCATCCGATTTAGCTCCTGCTGGTACTGTTGATGCTCCTTTTCAAACAGCTGGTGCAGGGCAGCCTGACGCACCTGGCGGGGAGGACAAAATAGGGTGTGGTGTTTCCCTCCGTTTCCCACCCTTTCTCATTTGCTCTCCCTGGTCCCTTTCCCATCACTTGTGTTCCCTTGGACCTAAACTTAGCTGTGGCATAAAGCTAGGCACTAGCAGAGACTGAACAAGTGGAGGAGAAGCATAACCAACCTTTTTCCCTGGGCGAAGCCCCACGATCAGCGAACGTTTGCTGATACCACAAACCAGGAACTCTGGTAGACACCAGGGATACAAAGATGTGGCATGACAGCAACCGGGGACTCTAGAGAGACAGAGGTACTGAGAGGCAGGTGCTGGGCACCAAGAGATAGTTTTGAGTCTCACCAAGATGAGAGGAGCAAAGACTGGAATGCACTTTGGACTTAAAGTGTATCCCCTGCAGCTGGATGCAGAGTCACTTCATGAAAAAGTGTTTTGGCATTTGGAGTTAAAGAGTTGCTGCTCTGTGATAAAAGTGAAAACCTCAGAAACAAATAAGATGGTAACTGAGGGCAGAGACCAAGAGCCTGGAAACCCCAGTGGGCCAAAACACAGGGCAGTAATTAATGGATGAGACTCAGGCTGCCCTTGCTAGAACTCACCATCAGTAGCTGCTTGTTGGCTAATACCAGCTCCTGCACCATGGTGTCCTGCATCCTTAGAGTGGCATATGGGTTTCTCCTCTGGCTCAATGTCATCTGCCACAAACAGTGAGTATGTGAATCTTGCCACCTGCCCCAGGTATAGAGGTGGGGGTGAATGGGTTAGAGTTAAGTGAGGCTTAAGAAGCCTCAGTGAGGCTTCTTTACTCAGAAGCTCTGTGCCAGTGTCAGAAGATTGCAAACGCCTTTGAAAAGGTAGCTAGAACTGATTTAGATCCTTATGCCGTCCAGTCCATTCCGACTCCTGGTGACCCCATGCATACAGAGAACTGCTCCATAGGGTTTTCAACGCTAACCTAGTATGTATTAAGTACATTATTTCATTTAATCATCACAAGAAGCATGTGATGTAGGTGTTAATTTTCACATTATACAGATAACAAAACAAAGTCCAAGTGAGTTGCCCAAGCTCATTCAATGGCAGACCTGGGCGTCAAATCCAATCTCTCTGACCCAAAGGTTATATTCCTTCCATCACACCAGTGATTCTCAACCCTGGCTAGGTATTGGAATCATCCATTAGTTTTTTTTTTTTTTTAATGAAGTTTTTAATACATAAAACACATATTCCTTTTGTGTATTAAAAACTTTTTAATTTTTAAAACTTTTATACATACATGTATACACAATATATATCTCCACTGCTCAGACAGACCCTACTGACTATTTTTAAAAACCTATTTTTGACACTGACTAGAAAAGTTAAATTCACACAAAAATATATAAAAAGCAAAAGCTTCTATCCTAGTCCTTACCAACAAAGTTATCCAATTTTTTGTGCATCTTTTCAGAAAACTTTTATATTTATATTAGTAAGTGTCTTTTTATTGTTTTAAACATGGGATCATACATTTACGTAAGCTGTGTCACTTAACAATTTGGAGTTTTCACATCAACAGAGATTTATTTCATTCTGTTTAAAAACTGCATAGTATTTTTGTATCATAATTTAACCAGCTATTTTCAGCTTTTTTACTTTTATAAACAATGCCATCATGAACATTTACGTGTAGGTATCTTCTGGTACTTTGGCAAGTATATTTGTGTAAGATACATTCTTAGCAGATGCCAATTTAAAGGATGTGTGAATTTTAAATTTTGATTGATTTCATCAAATGTGTTCCTAAAAAGGTTGCTTTTACCTTGTTGTTGTGTGCCGTTAATTCCAACTCATAGTGACTCTATATAACAGAGTAGAACTGCCCCATGGCGTTCCCTAGGCTATAATCTTCACAGGAACAGATCGCCAGCTCTTTCCCCCTGCAGAGCCACTGCTGGGTTTGAACCACTGACCTGTTGGTGAGCAGCCGAGCACTTAGCCATTGCGCCACCAGGGCTCCTTCCTTCAACTAAAATTATATGCATTCTCTGTTCCTCACATCCTTGCTAGCTCTGGGTATGATAACCTGTGAAACCTTAAAAAATGTGTATTCCTTTCTCCCATCCCAGACCATTTTAATCAGAATGTCCCAGGTAAGACCTGAGCATCTGTGGTTTTTAAAATACTCCCCAGGTGAAACAGACATGCAGCAGCCCAGTCTTCTAACAGCCTTCTCCCTCCCTCCCTCCTCGCTGCACACTTCCCACGGGATGAGTACAATGCCAGCCAACAAGTGCTTTTAACTCTCAGGGGAAGAGAACCAAAACCAAGAACCACTACAACAACAAACTTGCTCCAGTTTTCCTTTGGAGAATGGGAGGCAGAGGGCCATGAAACCCATCCTCTATACAGCCTATCCTGGTGGGCACGACAAGGCTGCTGTCTGCTTGCTAGGACGGTGGCTTCTTGCCCCCGCTAAACCTGTTTTCATTTTGCGCAGAGGTGTGGAGAGGTGGCTCAGGAAGGACAGGCGTGAAAAGGTCAACTCTGGAAGGCCAGGGGAGGAGATAAAAGCAGAGGTTACCTGGCAACCATCTTCTGAAGTTCCACAGTTCTTTGAAAAGTCTGCAAGAAAAGGGAGTGCTGTTGATCTGACTTCATCTTCAGAGCCTCACCTTCAGTGCCTTATTGTGGTCAGAGATACACAGACCTTTTCCTTTCAGAGAGTGTGGTCCATTGGGGAGGTAGGGAAAAGAAATTCCTACTCCTTTCTCAATGGATCAAATTAAACATGCAAGTGTTGGAACAAATATTTGAATACCTACTATGAGCAAAACAGTCTCCTACTCCTGTTACTGCCTACCCTTTTGTTACATCAGGGGGTCTTTCCCAGGAAATGATCTACTTCTGGGAAACTGATCTGGAAGCCTCATCAGGGGAAACTCCTTCAGCCCAGCCCCTCCTCTCAATTCTGCATACCTCTTCTACTCTTGGCATCTCTTCCACAGACATGTCTACAGACTTGCTTGATATGGACGGGGCAGGCGCTCCCTCCTGTTGATTAGTTCAATCACTGGGTTTTCAGTAGTCATAGCAACAGTCACAGCTCCAACAATGACCCCAGGCCTAGGAGCTGATTGGTTATCAGGCCGGTTGCCTCGGAGACCTGAAGGGAATCCTGGTTCTGCAAGCTTCTATAGTGCCACAGGCACTCTGTGAGCCAGGGCCACAGTCCCAATCTCAGGATTTCTTCTGCTGGGGTCCCGCAGACTATCTGTATGGTTCTAGGTCCAGGTACCCATGGTCCCACCAATTCTCTTGAGGCAAATCCTCACACCCTAGTCTGTTAGGCAGGTACAGACAACATACCACATGCCTGTTTTATTAAAACACAACTGTAAAGGAATTAATCATACAGTTTTTTACTTTCTAACAGTTTGTTTTATTAAACAACCAACTTATAAAGTCAGACACACAATGCGTTGCCTTGTTAGGGGAAACCATTCCTTCACATTGTCCCACAGTATCCCCAATAAGGGAGGGGAGATAGGATTATGCCAGGTGTCAGAACAGTCTGTTTTATTCAATTTACTCACGACAGTATGGAGTAAAAGTGGCAGGGCAGCCTCTGCAGTTCAGGGAGAGCTGTGTTGTTCCCACACACCCTGGTGTAAGCTGTTTCACACACGACCCACTGCCACACCCGACCTCGCCCACCAGTTCCTGCCTGCAGGTCCCACCAATCAACGTGAGATGCCCCAAACCCAAACGGCTCCCACTTAACCGTGTACAACAACGGGGCACATAACGGAAGCTACCAAGCCCCTCATCTCAACTCTCACCTCTGGGAGTAAATGTCCGGAACAGGGCAAGTGAACAAACCAGATCAAAACCAGGTGAGGATTTTTAAAGAAGGCTTGACAGAAACACTTAGAATAGCAACTGAATTGAACTCCAGAAAAAGTGCTACTGGGAGAAAACAGTTTTAGCTGTTGTTGTGAAATGGCCCATAGGAAAGGGCCTCCAGGCGTGAGCTCTGTACACACGGGCGCTTTGGCCGGTGGAGTCTGGGCCTGTGGAGCCAGATGACCTGAGGACGGCCCGGCCTGCACGCTGTACTCCGGCGGGCTCAGTCCCCACTGGGAGTCCTCCGGCTCCATCACAGAGTAGTCACCAACGTGTTATAGTTGTCCTGAAAGCTCTTCAATTCCAGTCCCTCGGCTCCATCACAGAGTACTCTCCAGCGTGTTATAGTTGTCCTTAAAGCTCTTCAATTCCAGGAAGTGCTTGGCGCGTCTACTCTTCTGGCTGGGGGGGAGGTATGTCACCTGGATGGTTGTTGGGGAAGCTTCAGGGGACTGAGTGAGGTCTTTGGCTGCTGACTGGTGGTGTCGCTGAGAGCTCCCACTTCGTGCTTTGACCCTGAAGAGTACAAGGGGCAGGTCACAGACCAGATGAAGAAAGGAAAAATACACACGATCCGGGACTCATCCCGTCCCATAAATGCAACCATAGCCACAGATGATCTCTGTCCTAGCTTGTAAACTAGTCACTAAAATCCCATCTGGTATCTCAGAAATAGCAAAGAAACTTATTTCCCACCGAGTTCCTGCCTCTTACTCAACCTTGACTTTATCTCACTATGCTTAGAGAAAATTCTTAACTCTGCCAACTCACCTAAATTGTGTAAGCAGCTATTATGCTCCCAGTTCAAACGGAGTCTTTTCAAAACTCAATTCCAAAAAATAACAGCAGCAGCTACTGGGTACACACAACATGTTAGGACAGTATACTTGGTGCTTTACCAACCTGTGATTTAATTCCAAAAACCCTACATAGGGTGGTATCCTCCCTGTCTTTCAGGATCTAATAAGTAACCTGCCTGAGGTCACAAAGCTAGTAAGTAACAGAGTGGGATTCAAACCTAAGTTTGCCAGATTTCAAAGCCTTTACTCTTTACACTATACCCTGAGCCTTTTTACAAACTAGAAACCAAACAATTCTGAACACGTCTCCTGCCTGACTTCTGGACTCAACACCCTTTTCCATCCCCTCCATGTTCATTTTCGTCGCTGCTCTCAGTAGTTCTTACGAGGACCTTTTGTCTATGGGAACCAGCTAGTCCGTTCTCAGGGACAGAGGGAAGGCAGCGTGGACACACCCTCTCCCCTCCTGAGAAAGAACCCCATCCCACACAGAACACATACATTCTTTTCATGGCTTCCCCTCTACACCGAGCACTTTCGTTTTAATATTTGCATAAATAACATCACGAAGCTACGTTTAACCAAAAAAACAAAACGGAACAACAAAACCTGCTGCTGTTGTCGATTCCGACTCATGGCAACTCCCATGTGTCACAGCGCAGAAGTACTCTGTGGGGTTTTTAAAATAATCCCCAACAAAAGTCACAATTCCTCTCCTATAACACAAATCCCCAACAGCTGACTCTACAGTGTTTGGACAGGGTTCCTAGTGCCGTAAGTGGTAACAGGAATCGGAGGCCCTTATCTCTTACTTGTACTGGACCAAGGCACAAAAGGAAGACACTTAGGACTCTGGACCACGAGGAATCCCTGTGTGCTGGAAAACTTGGTTCCCTTTCCTAGGCTAGACCCATTCTGACATTTTATGGGGCTGAACAAAACAAAGAAAAAGACACACAAAACTCTTAGCTTACACAGCAGCACCTGCCCTCAGTGTGAGCCAGCAGCAGTGCGAGGAGCCTAAGGACCTGACAACTCACAGGGTATCACAGATTTTTGCTCCGGTTGCTTTATGGAAGTCATTTCACTGCGGGAACAGTCTGGCACTACTTTATCTTCTAATAAAATGGAGCCAACCTGCCAGTCCCCTTTGACATGCTCCCTTCCAAACTCACGCGGTGGCCAGCTCAGTCAGGGCTTCCTGGTAGCGCAGGTACTCACTCTGGCCAAAGACCTGAGGAAAGAGGAAGGAAGAGTGAGGATCTTTCAGTCTGGGGATTAGCTCAGTTCCCTGAAGAAATAAACTGGCCACCCAACTTACCCCCGTCCCATAGCGGGCTGTCTCATAGCCATCCAGCAGGGTATCGATGAGGGCCTTGCGCACACCTTTGAAAGGAGTACTAGTGTTCCGAAGATCTAACAGGTAGGAGCGGAAATTCTTGCCCATCAAGGAACGGGGATGCCGGCCTTCAGCATGAAATGGGATCTCTGAGGAGATGACAGTGCAGTGATATCCTTTTGCCTACTTCTCCCATTCTGTAGTCTTTCTAGTTAACTTCCCAAACTTACAAATCGGTCCAATGTGAGCTGGGGGAGGAGGGAAATTCTAATAGAATTAAGAAGACCAGAGGTAGAGCTGCGTGTATTTGGTGATGGCAACTCAAGTGTAAGCTATACCAATGATACACATAGTGCCATCATTCTTTTTACCCCCTACTTAGTCATCCTGACTTTAAGACATAAAGTATGTTTTGATAGAAAAGCAGTATATATGACAAAAGATCACAGAATAGGAAAAATTCAAGAACCATCTATCTTGGTAGTGAAAAACTAAACAGTGCCTTTTTTCTTTTTAACTGTAGTAAGTGTATATTGTAACATATGTACAATTCAGCGACATTAATCACATTTATCATATTGTGAAGTCACCTATCTTCTGCAGACAACAAAGTGCTACCATACAGCTCGTGAAACTAACGGTCTCAAAAAAAGAAAACTTAGAGGAGTTTCCAGGATCCTGGCACGGACCCTGTTGGGTGGCCCTTACCAGAGGCACGGATGGCATCCAGAGCTTTCATCCTGTACAGATAGTTGTAGCAATCTGTTAAGAAAGAGTCTGGTCTCAGGCATAATCCTCAAAAGATGTCTCAAACTCCAACAAGGTAATAAACTGCCTTCCCCCATCAGACATATACCCAGTAATAAAAGAGCCACAGCTGCTGGTTTTGCCAGCAGCTATGTTGACAACTCTGAGAGCCAAGGAATCTGGAACTTGTGGGATTCCTCTCCGAAGCCGCCTCCAAGGGGGAGAGCTTGCCACCTACTTTGATTTCCCTGGGTTTCCAGCTGTAGCAGTCTGGCGTCATCATTTGCAAGCAGCTGGGGTTCGTACTTGATATCCTGAACCCTGGATAGTCGACTATCGATCTCTTCTTTCAGATCCTGTTCAAGCAGAGCAAAGAATATACAGTTTACCTTGTACTCTGCTTTCCACCAATCTGGAAATGGAGCAGAGCAAATCAACAACTATGACAACAAAAGCAGAGAAAATGTAGCTACTGAAACCGTCAGATAAGATGCAAGAATTGAAGCCAGACTGGGATTGGGTTCTCTGAGAAATTCTCCAAGCTGCACATCTCTTAGCTAGCTCTTTTAACCTGCCAGAATCCCTTCAAGCTATTACAGCATCAACATTATTTCTGACTTTAAACTGGACCAAGAATCTTCGTTAACTATTATATAGAATTTCCTGAATTGGGAAAAAATAACAACGGGGAATCATTTGTACTCTAAATCTCTGAGGAGGACCGTGAATAGTCTACAATAGCTTGAGGATTATCCCACCTGGTGAACCACAGAACATCTAAAGCCCACTTCAAAATGATTAAAGCACATTTTTAAAATAGGGAATTCAGATTCGTGGTATAAAATCCAAAAACTACTAAAGGTGCCATCCCTGACTCATCCAGAAGCAACTACTGGTATCAGTTTTGTATCCACCTGTCATCCAAAAGACTGCCAGTGCTCCAGGAAATTTCTTGTGCTTAAATTTCCTGTAACTTTTAAAAAACTTCCACCAGGAAATATATACAAAATATATATTACACGTACATTTTGAATAATAAAAATCATTAAAGTGAACACCTGTATCCACTGTCAAGTTCATGAAATGGAACATTACCAATGACTTTGAAGCCCCTTGTGCTCATCCTTGATTGTTAAAACAGTTCTTTCTTTTCTTCCACTTGTCACCCCAAGTAAGATGCTTAGCTCTGCCTGGTTTTGAACTTTATAAAAACAGAAAAATACTTGATTTGCCACTTAAATTTTAAATAAACTCAAACTGAGTTTGAATTCACATACAATAAAATGCCCCCACTTAAGTGTACATGAGTTTTAACAAAGACACCTGTTTAACTACGATCCCAATCAAGACATGTGTTTCCACTGCCCCAAAATGTTCCCTCATACTCCTCTGCAGTCATCCTTCCCCTCCTGGCCTCAGGCAACACTGACGCGCTTTCTCTCACTATGCTTTTGCCTGCTGTACAATTTCATACAAATGGATTTACATGGTACCGATTCTTTTGTGTCAGGTTTTCTGGTTTTGTTCACTCTGCATGTTCTTGAGATTCATCCATGTTTGCATCTCATTTTTAACTCAAAAATATTTTGGAGACTCATTAGTGTTGACGAATACTTTCACTCCTGTATAGTACTCAAGAACACAAATATATCACTGTCTATTTTAATGTGGACATTTGGAGTGTTTAAAATTATCACGAACAATGCTGCTATGAATACTCGTGTACCTGTCTCCTGGTGCACACAAGCAACAATTAATTTCTATACGGTAGAATTGCTAAGTCATGGAATACTTTTATCTTCCTCGATAAAGTCCAATTATTTTCTAAAGTGGTTTTACTAAACTTCCATTAGCAATGGATGAGAATTTGGATGAGAATTTTTTTTTAAAGTAAAAGGAATCTTAATCTCATCCATATATACACGAACCAAACTTTTGACTGGCTCACGATGTACTATAAATCAATTCTATGTCACTCTTAGGAAACGCAGTTGGCATCTGAAGGACTGAGGAAATGTGGAAACAGCACTGTAGAGGTTTCAGGCTGTAACATCCTCCTTGTGTCTTTCCAGGTGATACGTCAGCGAAGAACAAGGGTGTGAGAGAGTAACAGCAACTTAATGAAAGATTAACACTAGCCTAAGAGTTGGGAGAATCATGTTACCAGCCTTAGTTCTTCAACTAACCTGTGGTTCATTCAATAGTGATTTATTCAGTACCTACTATGTGTAGGTCCTGGCTTTATACGGTGAACAAAACTGGCATGGTGCCTGCATTCTTAAAGCTTAACAGTCTAGTTGAAGAGGGAGGCATTAAACAAACAAACATAAAAGAAAAACTGAATGCTCTGAAAAAAAAAATCAGGGTACTACAAGAAAATAAAAGGAGAAACCTACTTTAAGTAATTAAGAATTCCTCGGTTGAGGAAATAACATATAAGCTAAGATCTAAAGAGAGAATGAAATGGCCAAGTGAAGATCCAGGGAAAATCATTCTAGTCACAGTAACAGCACATGCCTTCGCTGTGGGTAATTCCACCAGTGTACCTAAGCTGCAGTGATCAGAGAAGAGAACTATATAAAAGCAAGTTGCTAAAGGCGGTAGATACCTATACTAAGTGGAACGCCGAAGAAAAAAGATAGAGGTAGTGGTAGGGTATCAAGAGTTCTGATTTAAAGATTTTAAGTTGCAGATGCCTCAGACACCTACTTTATCTACTCTGTACTACAGGATCACTATGACTCGGACTCGACTTGACAGCAATGAATTTTTTATTTTTTTATTTTTTTTAAACCAAGCAAATACAGGGTCAGCAAAAGAGGAAGACCCTGAACGAGATGGATTGACACAGCAGCTGCAACAATGGGCTCAAGTACAGCAACGAATGTGAGCATGGCACAGGACCGGGCAGTGTTTCATTCTGTTGCATATAAGGAGGTTCTCTATGAGTTGAAACCGACTTGAAGGCACCTAACGACGCTACACATCTACTAAGCGTGACAAGTAGACAACTGGATATGTAAACATGGAACGCAAGAAAGAGTTTGGAACAGACGTATAAATTTCATCTGTAGATATTTAAAACCAAGAGAAGAAACTCAATTACCTAAGAAGAGACTGCAAACGAGAGTAAGAGACCATTTGGCTATTCACTTGCTATACATTCTTGGGTAAGTTGCTTCTTTTTTTGGCGTTTCAGTTTGTAGCATAAACAGCAGCGTTAGATAATTTATGGCACCCTTATAAATCTAGAGTTCTGCAAAAGCAGACCTCCTCATCATTCTGAGGCTAATTCGAACCACCCTGACCCCATCCTAAAATGAAACCAAACCGTACCAAAAAACAAAAACAAAAAAAGTCGGTAATTTAAGATGAATCGAAAAATATCTTACAACAAAGAACTGGGAACGTTAATGCAAGCCCTTCATTCTGCAGATGCCAAAACTAAAGTCCACGGGTGAGCTACGTGCTCTACCACAGCGGTGCGCAGATAAGCCAGGTTCCACAGCTGACAGTTATCGCTCAAGCTACTAAGGAAAGCACAATGGTAACTGGACATCAAAACGGGAATTAAAGTCATCCCTGAAGGCCAACGCAATCTCATTCCTGCCCCTAAAACATCTGGAGGACCAGGCCTATCCCGTGCCTTAAGAACCTACCTTGGGGGCATTGTGTCCCACAGGGACATGAGGTCCCCTTCGAGACTTCATTGCAAAGCGCATGATTTGCCTCTTCACAAAAATAAATAGCAGTACAAACACCTGTCCCAAAAAAAAAACAAACAAAAAATTAAAAGTCCTTTAAAAGACTATAAAAGTCACGCCTTCATTCCAACTCCCCCGATTTGGGCTCTCAGGGATGCTTTAGGGTAAAACCTGGGACAAAACAAGGTCGTGAAACGTAGGGGTGAATTTGGGGAAGCCTGTAGAGGGACGCATGGGGTCTGCCGCTCTGGAGTTTAACCGGAGGGTTCTCGGCCAGGGGCGGGGCAGTCCTGGTCGTGACTTAAGCTCCCAGGTACTCTTGACAAAGCAGTCAAAGCCAGAAAAAGCCAGGTGAGTGGGTGGAGAATGAGGACAGGGAACAGTTCAAGAGAAGGGTCTGACGCGGCAGCAGGCATGGGGTGGAGGATCTCCTCACCAGGCTCCCGTAGGCCATCACCAGCACGACATTCACCCCGGACAGCCAGTTACTGCTAGACGCCATGGCCTCCCCACCCCGCACAGAGCTGCTCTGGTTTACGCCGTTGCCCTGCCTCGTCCGCCCGGGTTCCGCCGAGGCAACGGCGCCGGGCTTTCCCGGAGCTCCCCGGCCATTTCCTTACGGGGGCAGACCAAGTGAGACCTGGCCTGAAAACATGGCGGCTGGGGGGGTGGGGAACGACGCCTTCCTGCTTCCCCCCGGCACGTGACTCAGGCTGCAATGGCACCCGGGAGCGGCGAGGGCGCAGACGCGGAAGTACGCCAGTAAGAGGAAGCGGAGGCCATCCGTGCGTCACGTGGTGAAGGCGGGGCCGCCGTAGAGGAGGCGGGGAGGACGCGCGGAGCCGAAGTGGGGTGTCTCGTGGCGCGGCGGCGCGCGCACGCTTGCGTGCGCGTCCCTTTTCGCGTCACGTGCCGGGGGACGCAGGAAGGCAAGTGGGAGGGGGAAGGCGCGAGAGCGAGCGCGAGAAGGAAAAGGAGGGAGGGGGGTGGGGAGGAGGGAATCTTAGATCACGTGACAGGGGCGGCGCGGCCCGGGGTGTCAGTGTGGAGGAGACTGAGGTAAAGTTGGGAGCGCAGCGGCGTTGGCGGCGGCGGCGGCGGCAGCGGCAGCGGCAGCGCGGCGGGGCCGGGTATTGTCCGCGGCCCCTTTAAATCCGCGATCTCCCTTTACCCTCCCTCCTTTCTCCCCTATCCCCGCCGAATTCCCCTCCCTCGGAAGGCCTCCCCGCACCGTGTGTTCCCCCACTGTACACCCCCTTCCTGGTCGTGCGAGCCCTAGCCTCCCCTCCCCCTCGAGTCGGCCGCCGGAGGTTTTGTTTATGGTTAGGTTCGCGGCCTAGTGGGCCGCGCCAGAGCCGGGGCCTCGATTTGGGAGCGTGGCCGGGGCGGGGCTTGGGGCAGCCGAAGGGGGGGGGCATGCGGCTAGAACCTGAGGGGGGAGAGCGAGAAAGAGCGCGAGCGAGCGCGGCCTGGGCTCTGCCTGAGGTAGGGCCCTCGCTGTCCCCTGGTCGGTGGCTGTGGAGAAGACGAAGGGGCCTTCTCTGATCCGGATCCGGCTTGGTTTGGGGGCGGCGGGGGGGAGGGAGGGCGATGGGGTGGAGCTGCCCCAGACTCCCCCATGTGGCCCTCAGTTTGGAGTGCGGAGGATTAATTTGTTCCGGGTGGGAGGTAGGGAGCCGATTGGCCCGGTGGGTTCCCGATGTGGCGGTGAAGGGGGGTGAGCCTTCCATCCTCCACGCGTGGGCTTGCGTCCCTTCTCCGTTTCCACCGCCTTTGTCGGCTCTTCTTAATACCGTTTCATCTTTTTCACGGCCCTAGCTTTTGGAATATGTTTTTACTGCTGTCTTTAGCTTCCCGGTGTCCGTACTATAGTTTTGGGTACCCCAGACAATTATGATGTTATCCGGGAAGCTGGACATGGAGGCCTCCATAGGGTGGGTTCTGCCTAAGGGACGTCACTAGAGCATTGGGGTATTCGTTCACTCTTCTCATAATGGGACAGGAATTCCAAATTTTTTCAGACCATCTGGACCGTCCCTAAATTGTTTCGAAAACTGATGTCACAAACAGGAGACTGCCTCTTTTCCACCATTCTTGAAATGTAGCCACCTATGGTGTAGGATGTTGTGGGAGGAAAAACAGTACAGTAACGGCCTTTTTTTGCTACCGTTTTTGCTTTTGAGTTTCCCTGATTTTTAAATGTAGAAATTTCTTTTTTGTTTCCTCTCCCCACCCACCTTTCCAGTCTCCATATTCTCTTTGGGGAAATCTGATATGGCTTGGTGGGAGGTGTTGAGGGTCAGTGACAATCAGCATTACCAGAGAACTAAAACGTTTTGGCTCTGTGTCGGGTGATAAAAGTGCTTTGAGATCCTACACCATTGTCCTTAAAGATTAGACTATCCCAGTGATTGTTTCCGTTGTGAACGGGAAATGTTGCTGGCATGTAAATTAGCGATGAAAGGTCTAAAAATGTACTGTTTTGTTTTTTTTAAAGCTCTTTGCTAAATGTGTCCTAACTGGGAAGTACTTTTTTCGTACTAGATTCATGTGGGTGGGGAAGGGGATGCAGGGGTCATTCCAACGAAGCATCTAGCAAATAAATTGCTCCGTTCTAGGCAGCAGGCTCACCCCAGTCCAACTTCAGAGTTTCTGAATTGTTTCACAAATTAGATTGTAAGCTCCCTGAGGGCAGTAACCACGTCATATTGCTTTTGTATTTCTTGAAGTATTGGACACATAGTAGTTACTCAATAAATATTTGTTATTTATTTTTTTCAGTAAAATTTCTCTGGCTATTTTTTTAAGTAGCTGGTTTTCATAAAATAGTCAAGGGCACTTCTGTTGAAACCTGTATTTACTCTCACACTGTACCCTTGTTCTCCGATATTTCTCACCTTATTTCCCTTAAATATTTTTGTTCTCTGTGAAAGTTTTAAACAAGATTCCTCGCCTCCACTGTAATAATTCTGGGTATGTGTCTGCTTGCTACTAAAAGGCAATCAATTCTGTGCCCCCAGTTGATCCATCCCAGATCACTTGCTTTTGACCTGTTCAGTGTTGTTACTACCTACGTGGTAAAATTTTCTTAGTCACACATTTCAAAGCTTGTAAGAGAGAAATGGAAGTTAATAGCAAGATTATCAGGAAGATCTCTTTTTTCTTTACCAGCTAGTTATGTGGCTTTCAAGATGAATTTTTAACATATTTATATCTGACTGGGTTTAGTATATGTAGTTGTCCATACAGTTTGTCTGCGTTATAACTCATTCTCATGAATTGAAGTCACATGTGGAATAAAAACAGTCAATATTTGGGTTGGGTGGGAAATGGCTACTTCAACATTAGAAACTTTTATCTTAGAACCAGTTTTAAAGTATAACAGTTTTCCTCTAATCTTAATATTTTTCTCTTGTTGATTTGGATCCAGGAATACTTGAACACCACTTTTTTTTTTTATTGTGGTAAATTAAGTGTTGAAACTTGGTTATAGCCTGGGAAAATGGATTACTGTGTAGCAAATGATCCTGTACTAGCTTGAAATATTTACAGGCCTTTGTGTGCACACGTATGTAGGGGGAGGAGGTAATGGTTAAAAATTAGCCCGATGCTGCCTTAAAAATTTTTCTTGGAGATAGAGAATGTAGGACTCTTTAATTTTTAATGAGCATGTCAAAATCCAAAAAAACCTGTGCAACCTATTGATTCAACTTGGTGAAGAATTTATCCTTAGGGAAGGCAGCTGTCTCTGTGATATCTAAGGTGAAATTCACTTTACTAAGTTAATTTTTGAGGATTTCTTTAGAAGCCTTCTCTCTCCTTCAAATCTAGCAATGTCTTGAGCAGTCTAGAATTACCCTGTATAAAGTTGCATTTATGAAAAAATTAAATATAGGGCAGAAAAGTATAAACTTGTCTTTTCTGGAAGGGAATAAAACAATGCAAAGTAATCTCTTATTTGGAGCACTTCATCATATGATGAATGTTTTCTTTGTTTACTAAAAGCAGCTGCTGAGATTGCATTATAAAGCAAAGTATGAATGAAGGGAACTTGAATTCAAGAGAATCTTTGCTCATTAGAAGTGTTATAACAAAAACTATGTTCTGGTTTTGGGAAGGCCCTGTGTGTTCTGTGTCTCTTTAAAGACTCAACTAAGTCATCTTGCCGGCAGTAATGTCTCAAACTTAAAGGCCCTTTCTTCCAAGTAAAACTCTGTGATAGATGCTTTTGGTTGGGGACACATTTGGGATTCTGTGTATATGCAGGTGAGTGGTGGAGGGTAATGTCAATTCTGGCTTCTTGGAACACTGTACTAGAAGACCAACAAAGGTAGCCACAAAAGTAGTGTGTTAGAATTATTATCCAGGAAACCGACATCCTGGGCAAAGTCACTGGGGCTAATGTGTCCTGTTGATGGCTATGGTTTAAAAAAAAAAAAACAAAAAGCCTGTAACATGCTGAGGAGTAGAAACTTGAGGGAGAAGGAGGCTAGACTTGAGATTGTCCTTTCCCAAGCAGGCGGAGGTTACATGCAACTTACGTAGGCGGCTTGTAAGGCAGGTAGGGCTGTTTTCTTAGGTAGATTGAGTACAGTGTTTAAATTTTTTTTTTTTTGTTATTTCTTTGGAGTATAGACTGATCCCCTTCGGAAGGCTTTGTTTCTAGGCTTTTCTATCTTTCTGTCAAAGGGACTTCAGATACTTTCACCCATATAGAAAGCTTTTGATTTGTTAAGATCGTTTTGCTTACTAGCAAGGGAGCAAAACTTCACAAAGTCTGCTTATAGGGGACTAGTAAGCAAACCTTGCCTGTAACTTCAAAAACAAAAACGATTACCTACTAAACTACAACGAGCACTCATTTACAAATACTTAATGCGTTTCTTACACAAACATGGAGTAACAGCCGTAGTTCCTTAAGGGATTTATCAAACAACTAAACACATGTCTCAGGAACACATAAATCTTTTTGATTGTTCCTTTGAAAAAATAAAAGTGCTTGGTGGTGAAGGTGCTGATGAAAGAGGTTGAAAACATTTTGCCCACGTTTAACATCTGAACTCTTTTTTTTAATCTTTCAGTATTCTACCTTGTAAATACTGTTATTTGTATATACTGTAAATGATGACATCGGTGGGCACTAACCGAGCCCGGGGAAACTGGGAACAACCTCAAAACCAAAACCAGACACAGCACAAGCAGCGGCCACAGGTAAAGAACCCGAGAGCTGTGGATCCACGGGCAGCCTTGCTGGTTGATAATTGCTTTCCATCCAGTACAGCATCATTCGGTGTTCTGGGTTATTGATTTGGGTTCTTTATTGTTTTTTAGTTTGTGGGTCTTTTTTTTAACTTAGGGCCTGATAATTTAATGACATATTGTGACGCAACAAGTTTTTTTGTTGTTTAATACTACATTATAAGGCTTAGAAAGAATGGGTCCCGTGTTTTCTATCTCTAAAGTAGTATTTCCCTTCTGTCATCTGGGCCGCTTTAGCAGTACATTCCATATTTCCTAGGCCTTCCACCTTGATATCTCTCTAGCCAACCTTTGTCTTGCCACTTCTTTCCTTTCAGATTTTATCCTCTGCTCCTCTTTTGCCTAACTTGGCTTTAATCTCCTTCGATGGTCTCATTGAGGGCTTATCTGATTTTTCCTTTCCCATGAGGAGCTGACACCTTCACTGTGTTCCTTCAGAATTAATAAGTGAGACACCTTTGAGCATTGCTCAGTTTTAAGTTTTAAGAAGTAAATTAACTTCCTGGATACTGAGGTTTATGTTTTCTTTTTTTTGTTGGTTTTTAATTGGATTTAGGTATGATCTGTTTCCGACTCAGTTTAATGTTTGTTGGTCTCTAATGTGAATGAATGACTTACATT